TATGGTCTTCCTAAAACCATTGTGTTAGATAGAGATGTTTGGTTCATTAGTCACTTTTGGAAAATGTTGTAGCAAAAGTTTGGTACAAAATTGAAATTTTCTACTGCCTATCACCTGCAACCTGCAGACTAACGGTCAAACGGAAGCGGTTAACTGTAGTCTTGGTAATTTATAAAGATGTCTAATCCAAGAAAATCTTAGAAATTGGGATTTGATTCTTTCTACAGTTCAAATTGCATATAACAGTTATATAGAAACCAAAATCACAACTAAATATGGTAGCAATCAATTACAATATTAATTAATGGTTAACACAATCTATCTATAATAGTCGTAATTTTTGACGATCTTCAGAATCTTATTCAATCCTCGACAATCTCCGTAATCTTATTCAATCTCATTGACAAATGACACTATGTATATAAAAGGTTTATTTGTAAATTTTCCTTTTAGTAAGCTTGGTCAAACAAGCACCTAATCAAACAAGAGGAGGAAGGGATAACCAAAATTAACATGCACTTTATTATTGCACATTTGATTTCATTGAACTTGTAATGGATGTAGTAGACCACGATAAGAACTCATGCTACCAACTCCAAGCTTTTTGAGAATAAGGTTTAGATCATTTAAAAATGTATAAATACAAAACCTATACACAAGGCATATTTTTCAACAAATTCATAACCAAAACGAGTACAAATGCTCAATTTTTCCTTCAAAAAAATATGGACTGTGTGAGAAAGAGAGAACAATAAAGGCATACAAAAAGAGAAGTAGATGCACAAATAAGAGAGTGCAAGAGATATTCTCATCAGAACTAGTCTTGCATTAAAGAGAGATTGTACCTCAAGTAAATCTTTCTCAAGACGTTCTTTCAATTGCTGCATCGATGCCGTGCCACCAGCAAGCTACAGGACAAGATTGACGAATATCAGGAATTGATGTGGCCAAATGTTTGCGGCTAAAGGAATTTGGTTTAAACGGAATGAAAATAATTCACTCCACATTATGTCATGATGACAATCACCAGAGCAATACTTTCTCAACAATTGGATGATTGAAATCAAATACATCTGGTTACAAGATGATCATACCACATGGAAGGATGTCAACTTTCATGAAAGTGGGAATAGCAAATATATCAGTAGATAATTAAGGCATAAGCATCTGCTTAATGTGCTATAGTAATAGTCTAAAATACTGCAGGAACCTATTAGGAATAGATTGCTGAAAAATATCAATAACTTAAATTACAAATTAAAGAATAGGTATGTTTCCTCTTTATAATATTACAAATTATAATTGACATTATCCATTGATGCCTTGACACATCCTACATTGTGTTGGAGTAACCAGAAACCTGTGAAGCAAGGAAGGAATTTATAACTTTTCAAAAAAGGAACACTAGCACATCAAATAAGATACTATAGATAATATATTTAAATATTATTCTGTCTCCATACTTCTTTAAATTTTCAATAAAATTCTCATTACTCCATCTGACTTGTTCTGGGTTTGAATACTAGGCAAACTACCATCATATCGAAATTTTATGTATAGAAAACTGTATTTTCTTTTTGCAATTCACTTCATTCATTTGGACACATGAATAGGGCAAACCATGTGACATCTCATAACACGTATTTGAGGCATGTCAAGGTTGTGTACGTTGAGTGTCGATAGTTTAAAATAACCAAAGAGATTGGACAAGTCACATAACCAGTTGGACTAGAGTCCTAAAGGGTCCAAGCATATTGGTGTCTGGTGCATATTGTGCTTCAGAGACAAAAACTAACCTGGAACTATTCTTTGAAAACTGCAGACAACCTTGAGGAACTTGTGCACAAATGAAAATCCAATGCAGTTCTCCCATCACAGGGTAGAATAGAAAAGGGAAAAGAGAAAAGACAGCTAGAGAAGAGAAAATAGAAACCCAAGAGAAATCTCATGCATGGACTTCTACATAATGAAGAAGAAAGAGAATGAATGACATAAATGACCCAATACACAGGAAATAAGAATGGAGTAGTACACTGAAAAAAAAATTCCTTTCAACAAAACAATCTAAATCCAGAAAAAGAAAGAGGACAAGAAAGAAAAATATTACATGGTATCCTTGCCCGAACAAGTATACATGTTCAAGTCAGTTTTAGACAAAAGGACTAGTTATCTTACCAATATGCTGCTATATAGTTCTCTCCGTATGTCAACATCACACTTGTTAATGCTCTCAATAACCTGATATATTTTCCAAATGAATAATCGCTTTAAACTTTAAACAGAAAGGGAACCAATATAAACTCAGATTTGAAGATAAAACCATGGGAATTAAATAAAAAGTATTCACCATTTGCGGCAAACCACGAACAGATGAAATATTCTCTGCATAAGTTTCCATGCCAGGAATGCTCTGCGAACATCAGAATATCCATGTCAACTCAAACCAAATATGTAGAAAATCTCAGATAGCTGAACTTGAATAAGAAAAGCAGTAATGTGCTTAGTAAACAACAAATTGTTACATTAGAGTACAGAATACCACATATACCATAGATATAATATTGCATATAAATAAAGATGAGACTGACTGCCTGGCATAAGAGTATCAAAAGGCACAAGATGTTTAAAATCGATCAAATATTTATGACACAATACTATGGCGTTCCTTAGCAAAATTTATGATACATATAAGGTGCAGGTAAACATTAGAAAATTAATCTAGCTCGTGTTAGTAATCAACATTTAGTACTCTACATAATTGTATACTGGAGGAAGAAAATGAATATATTGAATTCATGTATCTACATCAAATGAACTAGCCTAGAATGCACGTAAGCAATTATAAACATTGATTTGTATTAAATCTAAGGTTCCACTACTAGTATAAAGATAAGTCCTAGGATTGTTTTCTTAAGCAACTGTAAGGTACACAAAACAGTAAAGAAATACATAGTTCAAGAGAATAAACTTTTTTCTCTTGTATACTAGTGAGTGTGCTTGTGTTCTTGAGAGTAACATAGAAAGCAAAGAGAACATGCACAAAGTTATAAGACCATTAATAGTGCCAGAAGCATTAACATATGTGGAATCCTTGTCAAGGCCAGCCTTCACATACATACGAAAAACAAGTCTAACTTAACACTTTCAACATTTTCTATTTGTATACTTAAACCCATGATGACCAAAGATCAAATAGAATGCCACCCAAGTACAAAATCAAAATATTGAAAACCTACACAGCAAACAACGTCCTTCCCTTTAACATAGTCTCCCATCCCATGCTTGATTTATTGAATAATCAGTTACAAAAGGTCTAGGTCCCGACTCCAGTGCATTATCTTTATCAGTCCAATCCGTGAGTCAATCATCTTTTATGGTTTCTCATCAGCATACCAAGAAAGCAGGCAAAACCTCCTAAATACCATTAACCCCTCAAAGTTCACCCCCCCCCCCACCCCACCGAACACCCCACACACACAGCAAGTATCTTGCTTTGTACTTCTAACTATTATCTGTAACACTTGCTGCCATGAGTAAACTGAACACTGAAAAGGGGACCCATCTCCACCAGAATCCAGCCCCTCATCATCTGTAAATATGTCCATCTGGTAGTGACACCACCCAAAGTCGTCGTTATTTTCCTTCATGACACTTTATATGCAATGATCAATCTACGGAAGACCACACACGTCAGACTTGCCCACTTATAGATGGCCATTCGTGTTATTGACTTTTCTACTACCGTTCAAATCCCAGATCTCCTCTTCAACAGCATGATCATATCCAAACTAAACAAAATTATGAGATTGTACCATACCCAGACCTGGACAATTGTTAAACATAACATTGGTCTTTTAAGTACTCCCGTGCAACATTTGCTTGAGAAGTATTGATAACTGCCAATTCTTCATCTTTATCAGATTAGAGTCCGGCCATAAACTGTTCTTCTGGAAGCTCTAGATGTGGTTCTAGAGGTATTGAGACCAGTTCTACAAATGACAATTATATATGGGTTGAACCTATAACAGGCATATAATTTCCCCTTCTGCATCTTACAATAGCATTATTAACAAGAAGATTTAGAAAAAACTGTCGTGAATGCAGAGGTAAGTCTGAGCACCTTCATGAACGACATGCGTCCCGTACAATAAAAATGTCAAAGCACCAAAGAATACCCATCGGAAATAGGGAAAATTAGTTAGCATAAAAATGAAATCAGCTGCCAAGCAAAGAACACCAGCCTGGAAATTTTGTGATGATAATTGCACTCAAGGATGATTGACATATAACATATAGAAATATGGGAAGTATCAAAATAGAACTTGAAAGATTAAATGTAAAAGCAGCATATCCTGACAGCGACCTGAACTAATGATGGATTGAATAGTATATCAGGAATCTTAAATCTGTCAGCTCCGATTTCTATTGTCCTATGAACAGAAGATAAGAGAATGTTAGTGCACAATTTTATCTAAAATTCCAAGGAGGGGTAACAAATGCTTCAGTCCAAAATATAAATGTCTATCATCATGTGTCAAGAAATGAGGTAAATCAACAAGAGACCTTCACTGAGATACATCCATATTCAAAAACCATTACTCAGGGATAAAGAAGGATGAAGTAACGCTAGAAGATAAAGATTTCAAGAACTATTTTTGATATATCAAATAGCATACTCATCTAAATGAAAAAAAAATATATAAAACTAACAACTTGATACGAAACTTACTGTCCATCAGGAAGCTCATAAGATGTCATTGGTATATTTGAATATGAACTCTCTGGGAAGAAGAAGAAGAAGAGAAGTATCAGCAATTTAAGTTTTGCAAGTACACGATTTCCAATGTAAAAAATGTAATTCTCTTTACTTAACCAACCAAAAACTTCATGAGTACAATACACAGCTCACAGAAGATCATTGTCAAATGTACCCGTACAAAAATCAGTAAGTGCAACAAAAACTATATTGACAAGCCACCAAGGGAATGGTATGGGTAAAGGCAACCTTTCATTGCTAGAACTATAATCAATTGACAACATCTGCTGCATGTAACCAACTGCCTCTCATGCCCCCGACTACTCTTCTACAACATCTTTATTCTCTTTTTTTCTTTATTCCTCTGTTGTCCTTTGGATTTCAACTATTTCGAAGTCTGAGAAAAAGATGACGACGACTGATGAAATCTGAGAGGACCAATCTTCGCCAGATTATCAAAAGGTTTGGAGGCTTCACGAAGGCTAGGAAAGGCTGAAGGTGGTGATACTGGTGTGCGGATACAGGAACTAAGACAGAACACATAGTGCTGGTAGGTGGAGATGATAAAGGTGACCGGAGAAAAGTTGATGGCTTCGCAAGGACAGGCATGATGGTGTTAGGTTCTGGTGGGTAGAATGTAGATGTGCAATCACGATATCTAGAGACAGGTAGGTGGAGAAATTACTGGTAATTAGAGAGAGATTACTGTGAATCGTAATGGCGAGAGGAGAATGTCGATATCTTCATGCTGGCTCGGTGGTGGCTGATTTGGTGGCCAGAGGACGTGATGTAAGCTGAAGGGGGGTGGATTTGGAGGGTGGAGGGCGGGACAGGATGTAGTTTTGAAAGTGTAGGCACAGCTACGTCTACTATTCATTTATTTTATCCTAATAACCCAGGCAAAGTTTTGGTTATTAATCTTATAAATTTGCTACCAGTAATCCAACAGATTACCCTAACATGTACCTAAGACTCAAAAAAAAAAAAAAAGGCAAACATTGGTATCAGTATCATAATACAGAAACAAATCAAAAAGCATTATAGAATTAAGACTGCATCATAGCAGATCAGGATCAGTGGTCCAGTCAATGTCCATGGTCATCAAAATTCTGGAGATTTAAAGCAACAAAATCCTAAACAACCTATATAACTACTCCTTTAATACTATTCCAACATCCATGAAAGATAATGATCCTTACAGACGGAGATAACAATAAAGTACTGTATACATAATTTGGTGAATCCTGAAATTATAGTCATAGGTTAAGAATTTATCTTTTGCTTTAGGAGAATTTGTGACAAAAGTACTTATGAACATCAACATCAAAACTATGTCAAAGAAGAGGCCAGTATATCACAATGAAAATTAAAACAATTGAAAGGAGCTCACCATCATATGGAGTATCTGGAGCTCTACAAACGCATTCTTTAATATCACTAGCAATCACCCTCTGTGACAAATAAAAAGAATTAGTGGCAGAAAAGGTGGGTTCAGCAACTAAAGAAAGCTCAATCAGTCAGCAACCTGGGAATAGAGTTTGTAACTTTCAGTTGTATTTGGAAAGTCAAGGTCCACTGTCTGTGACATAGAAGGGGAAAAAAAACCTATTATCAGTTGTAAGAAAACAGACCAAGTAGACAATTGCTTTGAGATATTTTCTTCTTGAGATGTACCATTGCATCAAGACATGAAAAATCAAGGGAAAATGTGAGTGCATGTAAACATTGAGTTTAGATTGCTGCAAATTTACATTTTTTTTATGATGTCATGGATAGGCTAAAGTTATGGACACAAGAATTTAGTTACACAAGTTGTGAGTCTATTGGTTGCCTGAAAGCAAAATCCTACAGTTAAGAATAAAATATCGCTCCAAATCACTTGTTATCTAGGTAGAAAAATTATGAAAAATCAACTTTACATTTGACAGCTCACCACCACAAATTCAAATCTCAGATCCACCCTCCACTTCTCTATCACATGTTTTTGAGATTGATGTATGAATGTGGCCATCATTTATTCTAAAGTTTCTATTATTAATTTTGAGGGGGTATATTTGGAAATGTTACAGCTTCATGAGCATCTGAAATTTTAGACAAAAAAATAAAATAAAAGAAGAGAGTATCACTACAAATTAGAGGGGCCATGTTGCGTTTGTAGTTGAGGTTCAGTGGTAATGTTGAATGGGTATTGTGGAAAACCGGATCCTATCAAATAAGGATAGGAGCCAATGTTATTTTGTTTTGATTATGAGATATTCTCATTCCATAATGAGTAGGGTGTAAATATGTATTGATTTCTTTCTTACTTTAGGGTACTAGGTTTATTTCCTTATTTACCAATTCCTGTAAACTATATATTGTATCAATTTCTATTGAATAATTATGAAGGAATTATAATCACAATTCATCTTTCAACATGGTATCAGAGCTCGGTTCGTTTCTAACCTAGCTCATACATAGCCGAATCAGCCACGCACGACAGGG